GTGGAGGTGGAATCGCAACTGGCGCAGGTGGAATCGGAGCCGGTGGAGGTGGAATGGATTGTTAGGACCGGACCTGGATCTTGGAATACGTCGACAACTTCATAGCTGGTCTTGACGATTCAGCTAAAGAGCTTCTACACATTCTCGAAGCTGGTGGAGGTGGAATCGGACAATTACAAAGAATATTTAGAATCAATATAAAAGCTAACAAATAGAAAATAGTAGATAACTGATGCTGAATTGAAGTCTTGTTAACCGAATCCTTATCATCAAAAGTGAAGTTCAATCCCGCTTCAATTGATCGAACAGCCGTTGAGCTTTCAGCACCACCTATGATCTCTGTCCAATTATCAAGACAATCAGCATCATACAATGTCGGAAACGAGTGAAGTCTGATATAGCATGAGATATCAGTTGCCTCATAGACGCAGAAATAAGGAGCGTCGTACCTGAAAATTAATAGGACGAATCAAGAAAAAACCTTAAACAGTGTAAGGACTGTCAAGTTTGAGCTTAACTATTTCGGTTCCTATGCAAGATATCAAAAATGTATGATAAAAATTTGATCAGATGACAACTTTTTCATATCTTCGACGGGAATCAAGATAAATTGGCTCAAAGGTCAAAGTTAGGAGGCCCTTCTATTACAGGTTTTACTATGTATAACACCAATTTAACCATACATGTGGATGGCCGGGCCGGGCCAGGCTGGCCCGCTTGCATCAAAACCCTCGGCCCGGCCCGGCCCGCTCGGCCCGCCTAGGACAACTCTTCGAAAATGTTACATTTCAGATGTGCCAATATATTTTTAATTGCAAAAATATTAATCCAAATGCATACAACCATCCGAAAAAGTCAATTTAATTGAATTTTTAGCAAAAAATAAAACTTCATTAAGCCAAGGATGAAATTTAAAAAAAAAACTACCTCAAAACAGTTTTTTTCGACAGAATCGTCCTCTAGCGTTATTAAGGAGAACAGCCATTTTGAAGAATGATGATTTGCTCTAAAATTTCGAAATTTTCAAAAAGCGGGCCGGGCCGGGACGGCCCGCTTTCAGAAAAATTTCAGCCCGGCCATGGCCCGGCCCGGCCCGCGGGCCGGCCATCTTTCCCACAAGTATGAATTTAACTGACCCGTGGTGAACAAGACAATAAGTGCACTCCCCGCAGTTTCCTGCTAACTCCCATGGAGGAATTTTAGAGCTAGAACAAAATAGAGAAATAGAAATGACCAAGAAAGTGGTCCTCATCATGTTCTTACACTTGTTGAGATTCTGACATCTCTGATCATTTATATCCACCTGCTTGCGTCTCCTTCTTTTCCCATTCTCACCTTATCTCTTCTCATCACCAATCGAAAAGCATTCCGTCAATCAACCTCAAGTGCATTCGATTCAATGAGTTTTGCTAGTTGTTTTTTTCTGGATAGATATTGGTGGTGCTAGTGTAAAACTACCAAACGTTTCTGCAAAGCTGATGAATATCCGTCCTGGAACGTTGACTTTTAAAAAAATCCATAGCTTTATTTCATATATTGAAATTAAAAATATTAATCTCAAAGCAACAGAGTCAAAGCTCACTAATTTCATAATTCAGATTTTCAAAGTTTCAGGAAACAATTGAAGATCATTTTTGTAATCAAGTTTTCACATTAGTTCAGATCATTCAAAAGTACCGTAAAACCTCTAATAGAACGACACCCGGATCGTC